ATGGGACACTGCTCCCATCTTCAGTTTTCTGTCTAAGAAATATTTACAGTGTCTGAAAAATCTAATGAATATGTATTTGTTTGAACACATATTATCTACATGCCCTAAATGAATAAGTTATTGTAGTTAGTTGCTACGACAGTTTATGTTCACCCACTGAAACAAAATAACAACATAAAAAGAGACCTTTAAGGTGACTCTATATATTGTTGTTGTTGTTGTTAAGTGCCTTCGAGTCTTTTCCGACTCATAGCGACCCCATGCACAGCAGAACGAAACACTGCCGGATCCCGCGCCAGCCCCACAGTCCCTGCTATACTTGAGCCCATCATCGCAGCCACAGTATCAATCCATCTCGTTGAGGGCCTCCCCCTCTTTCGTCGACCCTCCACCCTACCAAGCATGACATCCTTCTCCAGGGAATGGTCCCTTCTTACAACGTGACCAAAGTAGGTGAGACGAAGTCTGGCCATTCTTGCTTCCAAGGAGCATTCTGGCTGCACTTCCTCCAGGACAGATCTGTTAGTTCTTTTAGCAGTCCACGGTACTTTCAGCATTCTCTGCCAGCACCACGACTCAAAAGCATCAACTCTTCTTCGGTCTTCCTTATTCATTGTCCAGCTCTCACATGCATACGAGGTGATTGGAAATATCATGGCTTGTGTCAGGCGCACCTTAGTCCTCAAGGAGATATCCTTGCTCCTCAGCACTTGAAACAGTTCCTTCGCAGTTGACTTTCCCAATGCTACACATCGTCTAATGTCCTGACTGCTGCTTCCATTGGCATCAATTGTAGAACCAAGCAACGTGAATTCCTTGACAACCTCAATCTTCTCTCCGTTTATTGTGATGCTGCTCATTGGTCCAGTTGTGAGGATTTTTGTTTTCTTTATATTGAGACGTAATCCATACTGCAGACTGTATTCTTCAACCTTCATCAGTAGGTGCCTTAAGTCATCCTCACTTTCAGCAAACAAAGTTGTATCGTCTGCATATCTCAGGTTGTTAATGATTCTTTCTCCAATCCTGATACCACGTTTTTCTTCATATAGTCCAGCTTCTCGGATTATTTGCTCAGCATATAGATTGAATAAGTGTGGAGAAAGGATACAACCCTGATGCACTCCCTTCTTGATTTTAAACCATGTAGTGTCCCCTTGTTCTGTTCGAACGACAGCCTCCTGGTCAAGGTACAGATTCCTCATAAGTACAATCAAGTGCTTGGGAATTCCCATTCTTGTCAATGTTCTCCATAATTTGTCATGATCCACACAATCAAATGCCTTTGCATAGTCAGAAAAACACAAGTAAACATCTTTCTGGTATTCTTTGCCTTGAGCCAAGATCCATCTGACAACAGCTATGATATCCCTTGTTCCACGTCCTCTTCTGAATCCGGCTTGAACCTCTGGAAGTTCTCTGTCAATATACTGCTGCAAACGTTTCTGAATTCTCTTCAGTAAGATCTTACTTGCGTGTGATATTAATGATATTGTTCTATAATTTCCACATTCTGTGGGATCACCTTTCTTTGGAATGGGCACAAATATGGATCTCTTCCAGTCAGTTGGCCAGGTAGCTGTCTTCCAAATCTCTTGGCATAACTGAGTGAGTGCCTCCAATGGGGCATCTGTTTGTTGAAATATCTCAATCGGTATGCCATCAATTCCCAGAGCCTTGTTCTTCGCCAGTTCTTTCATCAGCTTTGACTTCTTCCTTCATTACCATTGGTTCTAGATCATATGCCACTTCCTGAAATGGATGAAGATCGATCAGTTCTTTTTGGTACAGTGACTCTGTGTATTCCTGCCATCTTCTCTTGATGTTTTCCTCTATATATTAGGGGATGTCTTTTTGAGGGGCTTTTGAGCTGTGTCCTAAGGACAGGAGAGCAACTGTACAAAGTTCTTGAGGAGGAGAATTGCTAGGCAGAAACAAAGGCAAGAGAAAAGGCTTCCAGGGTAGAGTGAACATAGCATCTTCAATGGATGGAAAGAAAGGCAGCGTGACTGAAGCCTGGAGGGCAGAGGGAAGAGTGTCATGAGAGAGAGTTAGAGAAATAAGCAAAGGCCAGATCATGTAGGTAATGTTTATATTTTATTCTGAGTAAAGTGGTATGTCTTTTGTGGGATTTAAGAAAGGAGGTAAAATAATTTGATGTATAATTTTGAGAAACTCAGTTGCACTGTTGCTGTAGAATTGATGGTGACTTGGGATAGCATGAGATAAGAGTAGAATCAGGAGAGCGGCTATGATGAGTTAAAGTAGTCTAGATTAAACTACTTGGATCTTCTATCAGTGCCCATGGAAGCAGCAGTCAAAGCAAAATAATATATTGCACAGGGCAAATCTGCTGGAAAAGACCTCTTTAAAATGTCAAATAAATGTTGTCACTTTGAGGACTAAGGTGTGTGTTTTGGTTATTTCGTGCTCCTCTAACTGACATAACACAAATGAGTGGTTTGAACAAACAGGAATTTATTCTCTTTCAGTTTTGGTGGCTGGAAGGTTGAATTCAAGTGCCAGCTCTAGGGACTGGGGGAAAGCCCCTCACCTTTGGGCTTCAGCTCTGCCTCTTGCTCCCTGCCCATTGGAGCTGGAATTATCTTTTCACTCAGGCAGTTACTGGCGTTGATGCTGACAAACCCAAGTTGACAGATAAAATGGCACAGTCTCATGATTACCAAACAACATGGTAGGCCACTAGTTCAAGTCCAGAGACAGTCCCAATATTGGCAGGAAATATAGCAGGCTGCTGAATGAAGACTCAGCTACATGCAGGGTCTAAGCATGACAAAAACCTATAGAGACCCTTCTTAAAACTTCTTATATTCTGGAAGCAGACCACATCCCTAAGGCAGCTACTCAGCTTCTCCAGTAGATTCAACCATGGAGTTGATTACCAATCTCATCCTGGGGAATAAGTACATCCAGCTGCCCAGCCACTCAAAACCAGGCCCAGCCACGTTGACATACAACCTTATCTACCACAGTACACCTGACCAAACTGGTATTTTCAGTTGACTCATATGCATGCCAAAGCTGGACAATGAGTAAGGAAGAGCAAAGAAGAACTAATGCATTTGAATTATGTAGTGTTAGTGAAGAATACTGAATATACCATGGACTGCCAGAAGAATGAAGAACTCTGTCTTGGAAGAAGTATAGCCAGAATGCTTCTGAGAAGCAAGGATGATGAGGCTTTATCTCATGTACTTTGGGCAGGTTCTCAGGGGGAGCAGGCCCTGAAGAAGGACATCATGCTTAACGAAGTAGAGGGTCAGTGAAAAAGAACAAGATCCTCAGTGAATTGGATTGACACAGTGGCTGCAACAAGGGGCTCAAATGTAGCAATAATTGTGAGGTTGATGCTAAGACTGGGCAGTATTTTGTACAGTGCATTCCCATGTGTTGGAACTGACTTGATAGCACTTGAAAACAGCAATAGACTAGAGGAGATAGTGTCTGGCTAGGGTTTTAGCAAGGAAGTGGTGATGCATCATTAGTTTTAAGATACATGAACCTTGGAGGTTGGCTTTCAAGTAATGATGGATTGGATATAAGAAATGAGAGGAGAGAAGTCGTGATTGACTCCTGTTTTTGACCTAAGTAAAAATTGGGATGGATGATAGTGTAATTTACCAAGATAGAAAGGTCTGAGAGAGGAGTATTTTTGAATAAAAATCAAGAATTCTGTTTTGGACATGTTAAGTCTCAGATGCCTATTAACATGCAAATGGTACTGTTGAGAGGATAATTAGAAATGAAACTGTGGATTCTAATGCTGATATAAATTTATATCATCATGATATATTTAAAAAAAAAAACTTGATGAGATAACCTCAAGAAAGAATAAAGACAGTGAAGAGAATAGGGTCTTTAACATGTATGGGAATCTGAATCCTGGTAGCTGTGTGGCTTGGAGAGGTAATTTAACCTCTCTGGTTTTATATTTTGCAGTCATGAATTTGAGAGAGCATAAAAATCCCAAACAAATTTGTTGCCATTGAGTCAATTCTGAGTTATAGTGACCCTGTAGAGTAGAAGTATTTTATAGGGTTGTTGTTGTTGTTATGTGCCGTCGAGTCGGCCCCGACTCATAGCGACCCCTCCTTGGGTTTCCGAGGCAGTATCACTATGGAAGTAGGATTGCCCAACCTTCCTTCTGAGGAGTGGCTGGTGGGTTTGAACCGCCAGACTTCTGGTTAGCACTCAAGTGCTTTAGCCGCTATGCTACCAGAGCTCCTTTTATAGGGTTACCAAGGTTATAATTTCTACTGAAACAGACTGCCACATCTTTCTCCTGCAAAGCAGCTGGTGGATTCTAACAGCTGACCTTCCAGTGAGCAAATTAGTGCTTATTTCTGCACTACCCGGTCTCACAGAAAGACTATGAGTCTTGTTATATAATAGATACTCAATAAGCAGAAGCTAATATTGTTATTTTTTTATATTTAGATGGTTTTTAAGAAGTGTTTTTAGATATTTACATTGCTTTTGGGAGAAAAAGACTCCTTTCTTTTTCTTAAAATAACTTGTGTGCTACTTACTATGAATTATTTTCTATACGAAAATTTTCACTCCAGGATTTTTTCTTTTTTAAACCCAAGCTTAGGCATGGAGAAAGGCTAAGGGAAAATACAGGAAAGAAAAGGAACAAAAAAGTTCAAGCTATGCCTAGGGTACTGTTAGTACCTTTCCACATATGTATATTACTTGTTTTATCTTTCTATTTCATTCATCTCACATTCTATGTATTGCAGTTTCTCAGCAAATAATAATAGTTTTCATATATATGAAAGTAAACTGTTCTATTGGGACATGCAGTTCTCATTTAAATGCCTTGGCAAACAAAGTTTTTGAATTTACTGTCAAATCATGATATATATTCCTTTTCTGTTATTCAGAATGTATTTTGTGCTTGGAAATATATTTAAAAAATTACAGTATTTGTAAAATCTAATCTGAAATTAATGAATGTTCTGTCAATTATGTTACAGAGTTATAAATTTTGTCAAGGAAAATTACAATTGATTTTAGATCAGATGGATCCGGGGCAACCTAAAGAGGTAAGTTTAAAGGATAGCTGTCAAGTTCAGTCAGAGATACATGTTTGAAATACACTCAATTACAGTCAATGAGCAACCTAAAGAGGTGAGTTTAAAGGATGTCTGTCAAATTCAGTCAGAGATACATGTTTGAAATACACTCAGTTGCAGTCAATAGCAGCTGGACTCTTTTTCTGGAGACTGGGCCTTTTTGTTAGGGACAGTCCTAGAAGGATATCTCTGGCAGACTTTCTAGTCTTTAAATGAAAGGTTATACAGTGAGGGATGCATTTCTTAGAGAATCATCATGTTTTGTTATAGTTTGTAAGAATAAATTTTTATTTCTAGCTTTAACTTTGAATAAGTAAAGTGATGACCATCTCTTCCCAAAACTTCTTTCATTGATGCATTGATTTCTTTGGGAAACAAACAAACAAAGAGGACTTTCATGGATTGCTTTTTTTTTTTTTTTAAACTATTATAACATATAGGGAACTCTGGTGGCATAGTGCCTAAGGCATTTGACAGCTAACCAGAAGGCTGGTGGTTCAAACCCACCAGTCAGTCCTTGGAAGAAAGATTGGCCAATTTACTCCCATAGAGAGATTGGTTTGGTTTTGGTTATAACATGTAAGTAATTTTGACACATTTTTTCATTTATTATAAAAATTATCTTAAGCAATTTTACTGAATTGTATTTGTATATATTTTTTTAAATTTGCAAATTCCGGCTTATGAGGTCTTCTTTTTTTGAAAATCAATCTGAAATAGAATATAGGACAGGATTTTTGAAGTACCTAAGACTTGTTTATATTTTGGAGCTCTGGTGGCATAGTGCCTAAGGCATTTGACTGCTAAGTAGCAGGTTGGTGGTTCAAACCCACCAGCCACTTCATGGAAGGAAGACTGGGCAATCTACTTCTGTAAGAATTTATCGCCTCAGAAACCCAAAGGGGGTTGCTATGAATTGAAATCGACTCGACGTCTTTGAGTTTGATTTGGTTTTTCTTAAGACTTTTTTTTATATTTTGCCATTTGCTGTCAATTTTGAGATCATCATTGTTTTTCTTGAACTTTAATATGAAATTAAATGAATAAACCAAAAACCCAGTTGCTACTGAGTTGATTGCAACTTATGGCCACCTTGTACATTTCAGAGGGGAGCTGCACTCCATAGGGTTTTCAGTGGCTGTGATCTTTCACAGGGTTGATCAGGAGGCCTGAGAAAGGCCTCCTGAGGCACTCTGGGTGAACTCAGATACCCAGTCTTCTGGTTAGCAGCTAAGCACTTAACCATTTGCCCCACCCAAAGACTCAATTGAATGAAGTTATGATTTAGTCTTGAAATTTTCTAAGAAATATCACAGAAGAAGAATTTTTTTTTCTCTCAGCATTGTGCATTCTGATTTATTTTGTGGTTCTTGATAAATAATTTATAATATTTCAAAGGCTATTTGAAATGGGACTTGATTTTATATGATAACAATTTTATTGTCTTCATTTTAAGTGTAATACTTGGGACTGTATATTTGTTCAGAACACCTTTTTACTTCTGAAATTAATTAAGTTGTAATAGAATTTTATCCTAAGAACTATCAGAAATGGAGAAATTGTTTAACATTGTTAATGAATTCCTAATTTTTAAAAACGTCTCTGTATTCTTCCTCATCTCCATCAGAAATAAAGTTGTATTCAGAAGTTCTCTTATCATATGAATATATGAACATTTTTAAATACCATGTATATTTTATGTCTTTTTCACCTGAAAGTTGATACTTATTTCAATGTCCGTTTACCTTCTGTCTGATTCCTCATTCTCTTTATCACTAAGCTTCAGTTGTTTCAGCTGGGAAATGACCAGGTTTTAAAGAATAGATTGGAATCAGTGTTATTACTCACTAGTTGGAAGTGAGTTGTGGGGGGAGCCTTGTTCCACTTATAATTGTAGTGAAACTGTTCTGCACTGCTGTCCCTTGGGTAACAATGTTTTTGAATGAATTGTGATTGGGTTCTAAGAATGATTAAAAAATATACTTTGTAAGAAAACAAAGAAGTTGAACTTTGCATCTCATTGCTAAGTGATTTTTTTAATTCTACCTTGATGGTTAGAAGGTTAGTAAATATGGTAAAGCAGCAAAAACAAGTTCAAATGAATAGTTTTGTGAGAATTGTTCATGTTCTAGAATGAGAATGCTTCAGCAGAGGCACCTGGACAACTTTTTAAAATTAAGCTCCTCAGTCTGGATGACCCCCGTTGGGGGCCTGCTAGAGTGGAGAAAATGAGTGGGGCAAGGCCAGTGGAAAATGGGGCTCTGGTAATTCAGCATAAGCACCATCCTTCTTCGTCTTCTATTTGGACATCCATCCTAAAATCTCCCGATATACTTTGTGTTTTAATTTTTGTTTTCCACAAACAGCAACCCATTTTTTTTTCTTTTTCTTTCCTGTGTATAACATTTAGTTTAAAAAATGAGTTCACAAGAGTTATTTTACAAAAAGGCATCTGATTTCTCATAAAATTTTTGATACTCTTTAAAAGGGAAATGAGAACCTATAAAGAATCTCCCCAGACTTTGCCTTTAAATAGTTTTTTAAATATTGTTTTGTATAATTGATACTATTCTACTGACTGCATATTCATTAAAATGTTCTGAAACATTTTAGGTGCGATATGAAGCCTTACAAACATTATGTTCAGCGCCTCCATCTGATGTTCTGAACTGTGAAAACTGGACCACTCTTTGTGAAAAACTCACAGTCTCTCTTGCAGATCCTGATCCTGTGTTTAGTGTAAGAAAAATGGTTGTAAAAATATTAAAATAATTTGTCCCACCGTTCTAGAAGTAAATATGATAATTTTCTTTTAATAGTAGCTCAAATATTTGTGAAATTTTAGTTTTAGCTCTTGAATTGTCAGAATTTTCCTTACATGACTTAGTTTCTTATTTCATAATTAGATGTAAAGTATGGTCAATATTATGTTTCATTGACAGATAATAGTAGACTGTTACCTTGTACATTTTATCATGTAAAGGAATAGCCGAATAATTGTGTCATTATTTATCAATTAAGAAAATGTATTTTAAAAAAGTTTTAAAAGAATTTACAGTATTTCAAAATATTAAAAATAATGAATTTGTACTCATTGTAGAGAGTTTGAAAGCATTTTCCTAGTACATTTAAGTGATTATTTAAAGATTATGTAACTGCTTAAAATGGGAGGCTGGAAAACTATCAAGCTGTGAGTGTAGAACACAATTTGAGATGGATCATAAAGCAAATAAAAAAAAAATCCCTAAAATTGTGCAGTCAATGGCAATATATGATTAATTTATGTAAAAGCAGATTTGCATATGACTTCAGGAGTAATTCCTGTGTGATGAGAAGTAAGCATATAAATATAGTAATTCTAAAGATAGTGTCATAATATGAATAAAAAAATGAAAACTGTAAGCATCACAGTTCAAATATGAATTGAATATATTTTAGAGGTTCTGGTCTTTCTTTTCATAATTGATATGTCAGTGAAGAAAAGTTTGGGTTTAAATTGATCAAGTGTTTTGTACAGAATTTTTTTAAGGGATTAGCACAAGTATTCCATTTTTCTGTTTCTTCAGTCAGTGTGCATTGAATACCTACAGTGTGTGTTGTTCTAGTTAGATGCTGGTTACACAACAGTGGAAAAGACATAGAAACACTTTGTCCTCATGGTACTTACATTCTAGTAGAAGAAACAGTAAAATAGTTATGGAAAAATATAAGGTATCTTAATACATTTATCTATTTTAAATCACACTCTGCCATTAATTAAATTATAATTATATTGGTAAAAAGAAGTAATTTTTGAACTGTTGTTGTTGCTATGTGCCCTCAAGTTGGACCCAACTCATAGCAACCCCTCCTTGGGTTTCCGAGGCAATATCACTACAGAAGTAGATTGCCCAACCTTCCTTCCAAGGAGTGGCTGGTGGGTTTGAACCGCCAGCCATCTGGTTAGCATTCAAGTGCCTTAGGCACTAGGCTACCAGAGCTCCCAATTTTTGAACTATGTTATATTTATAAGGGTAAAAAACCCAAACTCTACCCTGTTGTTTTTGAGTCTATTCTGACTCATACAGACCCTGCTGGACAGAGTAGAACTGATCCCTAGGGTTTTCAAGGCTGTAAATCTTTATGGAAGCGGGCTGCCTTACTGTTCTCCCATGGAGTGGCTGGTGGGCCACTAAGGCGAAAAGGGGTTTAATTACCTAACACTTGGATGCAGTTCAACTTTACAAACACTTGAGGGTGCTGCAGACTTCTGTAAAAACTCAGTAATCCAAGACCTTCAGGGGAGAAAAAGGCACTGCAGGGTCAGCCTCAGTGGTTTTTAAATAAATAAGAAAAGCAATTGAAAATTTCCCTCTATTTTTCCCTTATTTGACGAAGACAGAATAGTGATCATACAGGTTTTCTTTAATTATTTTACAGTTTATATAAGAACTTTATCATAATCATTTCCTAATAGGGCAATATAAGTTGCTTTATTTAGCTATTGTAGATAATTATGTAGCAAAGGTCATTATCAATACTTAGTAAAATTTGAAAAAAAAATATTATAATGAGAAAATTGCAAAATGGTAATATAACCAAGCATATTGGAGTAAAAAACAAGATATGGTGTTCTTTTCATTTCTAATTTGTGCTAGATCCAAATTCATTTTGACTTTGACTCTGTTTTTTTCATTTCCTGTTCTGAGCAGCTATCACATGCAAGTGAGTGAAAACTGTAGTGGTTGAAAAGTGTGATGGTACAAAAAGGGCATGGAGGTAGTGTCCTCTGACCTTTTCTGACTTCATGAGGGGGAAAGAGAAGGATAAATAGCAATAGCCCAAAGCTGATTCCCATAAAGTAGAAATCAGACATGTTGCCACCTTCCAACCTTTTACCAATTCTGACACCAATCATCCCTCCTGCGGCACTCACTACTTCTCTACTGGGTTTGTCGGTTCATTCAGTGGCTACACAGAACTCACAGCCAATACTCATAATGATGGGGTTTATTAGGGAAGTGAAAAAAACCCCAAAAAACAAACTCACTGCCATCAAATTGGATCCGACTCATAAGGATCCCGCCTTAGGTTTCTGAGGCGGTTGTTATTGTTAGCTGCCATCGAGTTGCTTCTGACTCACAGTGACCCCATGCATAGCAGAATGAAACATCGCCCAATCCCACGCCAGTTTCATGATCCTTGCTATACTTGAGCCCATTGTTGCAGCCACCATGTCAGTTCATCTCATCGAAGGCCTTCCCCTCTTTTGTCGACCCTCCACCTTACTAAGCATGACATCCTTCTCCAGGGAATGGTCCCTTCTTACAACATGACCAAAGTAGGTGAGACAATGTCTGGCCATCCCTGCTCTCAAGGAACATCTCAGCTGCACTTCCTCCAGGACAGATCTGTTAGTTCTTTTGGCAATCCATGGTACTTTCAGCATTCTTTACCAGCACCACAACTCAAAAGCATCAACTCTTCTTTGGTCTTCCTTATTCATTGTCTAGCTCTCATATGCGTATGAGGTGATTGGAAATATCATGGCCTGTGTCAGGTGCACCTTAGTCCTCAAGGAGACATCCTTGCTCCTCAGCACTTGAAAGAGTTGCTTCACAGCCGACCTGCCCAGTGCTACACGTCGTCTAATGTCCTGACTGCTGCTTCCATTGCCATCAATTGTAGAACCAAGCAACGTGAGTTCTTTGATAACCTCAATCTTTTCTCCATTTATCATGGTGCTGCTTATTAGTCCAGTTGTGAGGATTTTTGTCTTCTTTATATTGAGATTTAATCCATACTGCAGACTGTTCCTCATTCTTCATCAGTAAGTGCCTCAAGTCATCCTCACTTTCAGCAACCAAAGTTGTATCATCAGTGTATTTCAGGTTGTTAATGATTCTTCCTCCAATCCTGATGCCACATTTCTCTTCATGTAGTCCAGCTTCTCAGATTATTTGCTCAGCATATAGATTGAATAAGTGTGGGGAAAGGATACAACCCTGACGCATTCCCTTCCTGATTTTAAACCATGCAGTGTCCCCTTGTTCCATTTGAACGACAGCCTCCCGGTCAAGGTACAGGTTCCTTATGAGTACAGTCAAGTGTTGGGGAATTCCCATTCTTCTCAATATTATCCATAATTTGTCATGATCCACACAATCAAATGCCTTTGCATAGTCAATAAAGCACAAGTGAACATCTTTCTGGATTCTTTGCTTTGAGCCAAGATCCATCTGACAGCAGCTATGAAATCTCTTGTTTCACATCCTCTTCAGAATCCAGCTTGCACCTCTGGAAGTTCTCTGTCACTATACTGCTGCAACCATTTTTGAATTATTTTCAGTAAGATCTTACTTGCGTGCGATATTAATGATATTGTTCAATAATTTCCACATTGTGTGGGATCACCTTTCTTTGAAATGGGTACAAATCTGGATCTCTTCCAGTCAGTTGGCCAGGTAGCTGTCTTCCAAATCTCTTGGTATAATCGAGTGAGTGCCTCCAGTGTGGCATCCATTTGCTGAAATATCTCAGTGGGTATTCTGTCAATTCCTGGAGCCTTGTTCTTTGCCAGTTCCTTCATTGCATCTTCAACTTCCTTCTTCAGTATCATTGGTTCTGAGGCCATATCACGACGAAAGTAGATTGCCCAATCTTCATTCTGAGGAGTGGCTGGTGGGTTTGAACCGCAGCTTTCTGATTAGCAGTCACATGCCTTAGGCACTACTCAGGTTACAATTCTAGCTTCAGGAACTTGCTCAGGATACAATTCTTTGATAAGGACAGACTCCTCTTGGCCATGCCTGAAAGCATGCATCTCTTTGGTCCTTGGCCTTTTAGGCTTCTGCCCTGCTCGGGCAAGTGTTACAGAGGGCTTTTAACTCTGCAGATTAGTACATCTAGGTGCACCCCATTCTGCCAGCAAGGCTCCTGTCCAAAGGCACTCAGCTTTCTCACTCTGTGGGCCGGCAAGCCTTCTGCTTTGTCTCTTGCTGTTTCTTGTGTTGGTCTTTTAATTCTGCTCCCTCCATCTGTCTGCTGTCTCTCTGCACAGAGATCTTGGGCCCAAGGACACACTCCACTCCTGGCTTTTCCTTCCTGATAGTTGTGAGATGTTGCTGTTGTTGTTAGGTGCCATCAAGTTATCTCAGACTCACAGTGACCCTACGTACACCAGAATGAAACACTGCCCAATCCTGTGCCAGTTCCATAATCTTTGCTATACCTGAGTCCATTGTCGTAGCCACTGTGTGTGTCAATCCATCTTGCTGAGGACCTTCCCCATTTTCACTGACCTTCCACTTTATCAAGCATGATATCATTCTCCAGGGGCTGGTCCATTCTGATAACATACAGAACATGACAAAGGCAGAAAACTGGTGGCAGAACACCTGATGTCACCAGGTGTTCTGCCTTTAGGAGAGCTCATTTTAAGCCTAGTGGAATGAAAAACTGACCAGCCTCTTCACTGGAGTTCCATATACCTTACTGAACAGTCCCACCCCCAGAAGCGTGCCATGTACCTTATTTACATTACTAGCAAGCTAGTTGATCCCTTTGCTAGGCCACAAAGCATGTCACATTTGCATAGTCCCACCTGGTCATCTGGTGGGAGTCACAAAAAACATGGCTAGAAGAGCCATACCAAGTGCACCACAGATAGATACTTAACAATTGCTGCAATTATTTAAAGAGACCTTCCAGAATATATTTAACATTCTGTGTTCAGTGGGAAGGAGCTCTGGTGCCATAGTGGTTAAGGCATTCTGCTGCTAACCAAAAGGTTGGTGGCTTGGGCGCACCAGCAGCTCTGCAGGAGAAAGATGAGGCAGTCTGCTTCCATAAAGATTATAGCTGTGGAAACCCTATGGGGCAGTTCTACTCTGTCCTAAAGGGTTGCTTTGAGTCAGAATTGACTCATTGGTAGTGGGCTTGGTTTGGGTTCAGTAGGAATCACCTGAGATTTATACACAGTATCTTTAGTCGTTTGAGGAACCATTTCTTGTCAGCATATTGTCTCAGTGTTTGATATAAGCAGGTTTTTTTACTGACTTTTTTTTTCATTGTAGTGTAGAAAATTTGGGACAATTTTCTGTTGTTTTTGTTTAATGGAAAATAGAAGTTCACTATTACAATTAATTTCATTTCAGTGTTAAAGTTGGTATAATTAAAACAATAACAATAAGAGCTACCATTCTTCAAAACCAGCTAGTGCCAGACACTCTTCTACTTTACAACTGTTATATCATTTAATCCATTTAATTTGTTCATTAATTTTAATTTGTTCATTTAGTTCATTAATTTTTGCTATACTTTATTTTAATAATGTAGCCTTTTTAAAATAAACAATTTTGTAAAATTTTTCTTGGAAATAGGTAAAATTATTAGAGAGTCCTAAATAATCTGATTACTGAAACTACTCATGTAAATAAGCCAAAAGCAAGCAGGCAAACAAATAAACCTTGAATTTGGAAAGGAGTGATTTTTTTTTTTTTAATTTAATACTAATTCTTTATAAGTAAATCCACTACCATTGAGTTTATTCCCACTCATAGTGATCCCTATAGGGTTTTCAAGGCTGCAATTCTTTATGGAAGTGGACTGCCTTATGTTTCTCTGGCGGAGAAGCTGGTGGGTTCAAACTGCTTACCTTTTTGGTTACCAGCTGAATGCCTTAACCACTGGGCATCTACTTCCATAGAGATCCTGCCTTGGAAACCCAAGGAGGGATCATTATGAGTTGGAACCGACTTGATGGCAGTGAGTTGAGAGTGCTGCTTCCTACTTAGGAACACTCAGCTCTGGTGGTGTAGTGCTTAAGGCATTTGGCTGCTAAGTCAACAGTTTGAACCTACCAGCTGCTCTGCAGAAGAAAGATGAGGTGCTCTGCTTCTGTAAAGATTTACAGCCCTGGAAACCCAGTAGGGTCACTAGGAGTTGGTATTGACTTGATGACATTGAGTTTGGTATTTTTGGTTCCTATACAAGGAGCTCTGGTGGTATAGTAGTTAAAGTATTCAACTGCTAACCAGACATTGCAGTTTGAACCCAACAGTGGCTCTGTGGGAGGAAGATGAGGCAGTCTGCTTCTGTAAAGATTTACGTCCTTGGAAATCTTATTGGAGCTGTTTTACCCTGTTCTAAAAGGTCATTATGAGTCAGAACTGACTCAGTGGGAGAGGGTTTGGTTTTTGGTTTATTCCTACTTAGGTATGTTCTGAGTTTTTCACTATTTAAAAGATATTTCTTTTATCTCTTTTCTGTTCTTGTGAAAATCTTAGATTTAATCTTTTGTTTTATTTTCATAGGACCGGATTGTAAAATTTTATGCACAGACATTTACACTTTCACCATTACATATGACTAAAGAAATTTACACAAGCTTAGGTATGTTTATTAAATCATTAATTAAAATGTTTTTTCTCTTTTATACGTACTTAAAAAAACAGGTAGGAAATATAACTTTTCAGAAAGCATTTTAAATGAATAGTATCATTTATATTATATTTTACTTCTTCTTTTCAGCTAAACATTTGGAATTATACTTTCTTTCTAGAGAAAGTCATATTCCTACTCTTTCGACTGGTATAGATATATCTAATTCTAATGTGATCCGTTTACTTAAAAAGGTATCCATTATAATATATTTTTATTTTTATTTAAATAGTTCAATATTTAAGAATTCTAATTTCCTAAGACCTATTGCTCACTGCTTTTACTACAGGTTCGTCTTCTAAATGAATATCAGAAAGAGGCTCCATCTTTCTGGATTCGTCATCCAGAGAAGTAAGTCTCCTGTATTTATGACAACAGGAAACACAGGAGTGTCTCTGCTGCACATCCATTCCAGAGAGAAAGACAGTACAGACAATCTTACTTGATTTACATGATTGGGAAGAGATAGATTAAGTTAATTTTCTTTAGCTTTCTTGTTTTGTACACAGCTATGTGAATGGCTCTATACAGGTACCATTTTACAGCATTTATTTATTACATCAAGTTAAAAAAAGGATATTGTAGCATCCCATTATTTCATTGGTCTTTATTACTTTGGACACGTTTCTTAAATGTTCTTTAATCTTTTTCGTTTGAACTCTAAAAATTTTAATACAATTGTAAAGCACCTGTGATTTTAAAAAGGAAAGTTAAATTGGGAGAGCCAACAATACAATGAAAAGAACATAAATTTTTAAAGCAGAAAAAATAAGGCACGATTCCCACATTTGCCATTACTGAAATATAAAGACTGGTTTTTAAAGATTACGTATAACTTTATCATTCCACAAATATAAACTATATCACCAGTACTGTATATATAATACATTGGTTTATTTCTAAAATCACTTCTTTCCAAACTTTAAGGTATATGGAGGAAATTGTAGAGAGTACTTTATCATTGTTAGCAGTTAAACATGATCAAAACCATCTTGTCTCACAAAAGATTTTGGATCCAATTTACTTTTTTGCATTGGTCGATGCCAAGGCTGTGTGGTTCAAAAAGTGGATGGTAAGTAAAAATACAATCTGTTTTAAGACCTTTCAATGCGTTGCTATATCGTTTTTTTTTTTTTTTTTTTTTTAAATAGCTAACATTTATTGAGTGTTTATTGTGTGTTAAGGGTTTTATTCAATTTTCCATGTGTTAACTCATTTAATTCTTAAAAAAAAAAAACCAAAAAACAAGCCTGTGTCATTACCCCACTCCTATTTTGCAATGCATCAACGGAAGAACAGAGAGACTAAGGTTGCCATTAGGTTGACCAAGGTTATTTCAAAAGTTGGTGGCAGAGTCAGAAAGGAATTTCAAATGGGAATTCATTTGCTATCCAAATCCCAGTTTTCAGTTTATATGCTTAAAATTTAATAAGTAGATATTAGAACATTTGGATTCAATGCTTATTTTTCTGTGGCTCAGGAAATATATTTGAAAATGTCTCTTCATTTGCCTTCTTCTGAAGCTGCAGTTTGGGGGAATTGTTTAATCCTTGATTGGTGGTAGTTTACTAGGGAGCTCACCATTGCCCTAGAATTAAAACTAATATTAGTCGTAGGCAGATCCTTATACTGTGGTCTCCATCATCCACTGTTGAGTAAGAGAGGTCTGAGTCCTGCTATAGTAGCAGCATAGTTTCTGTCCTCATACCTCTCTCTTTACCTGAGTATTTGGTAGTTGATGCAGTGTAGAACGGAGAGGTTGGAGCCATGACTTGACATGAAAACCAGCCATATCCTCATTTACTATTGAGCACGATTTTGTCATTGTGCAGCTGATTTTTTTTTCCTTTTGTTACCTCAACTGTAAAATAAATGCCTAATTAACCAGAACACAATTCGGTCCAGGGTTTCACCTTTACCTGGCTTATATAGCGTATGTTTGAAAAATATTTGCTGAATTAAATTGAATTAATTTAACATGAACCCTTTTTTCACTCATATCTGACACTTGAATTTTTCTTTTTAAAGATTATGTATAAATTTTTATTTTTCTTATAAATTTTTTCTTGATTATCAAATTGTGCCATTATTATAGAAATTATGTAAGATGTAAAAGAACATATAAAATTATATCTAATTCTATAAAATAGGGATACCAACCATTAAAATTTTTGTTTTATGTAGCTGTATTTTATTATATATATTTTAAAAATTGTCTATTCTGCTGTTTTATTAACAAAAGATGAAATCATACTTTACTAATTATTTATGAATAACTTTTTTCACTGACATTTTTATTGGCAATATTTGACTCTTAAGAGATGAGACAGATCACAAGAAAACTTGCCAATAGAAAATTATTTTAAAAAGCTTCCTAAATGTTTTCTAGTGTTGATGCAAATCCATCACATTCTCCTACACTTTTCTTTGAGCCTAAGGCAGGGGTTGGCACACTTTGTAAAGGGCCAGCTAATAAGTATTTTTGTCTTTGTGGGCCATACTGTTTTTATTCTATTCAACTTTGATTATAGATCAAAAGCATCCATAAGTAATATGTAAATGACTGTGTATGACAGTGTTCCAATAGTACTTTATTTGCAAAAATCTAGTGGTAGGCTGAATGTGGCCTGAGGGCCCTTTGTCTGACTCTGGTGTAAGGCATGTGCTGTGAGGATTCTTTTTCAGATATTGTCAATATTAAAAATAGTTTACATATGGGTCAACATATTTCTGTTGTTGAACTGGAAAAGGGAATAATGAGTTTTGGAAATATTTTAGGCTACAGGAGGTGTTAAAATACTTAGATTTTTTGATTGACCCTCAATTAACCAAAACACCATTTAATTAATTTAAAGACTTTTCTTCAGAATCTGATAGCTTTAGGGTTATTCAATTTATATATATATATATATATATATATATATATATATTAATTCTTAAGTAAAATGAAGACTCTACATTGAACAGTAATGATATCTGGCATAATTCAAGTAAATGATATTTATGTATATATCCATCCTGGCTTTGTACAATTCATAAAAGGTGTGTTATAATCCTATCTGTATTCAGTTCAAATGACAGAATTGCAAAATATTTTTTTTGACACTTTGAAGCATCAGATATGATTGGCAGAAAATTATTAGAATATTGTCCCTTCAGAGCCTTTCAAATGTTGGCAAATTTCTGCACATGTAGACAATCTTTTCAGCATGAGGGTTGTGATATTTTTTCCACTTCTATACTTTCTTTTGGGCACTGTCATACGCTAGTAGTCAGATAAGCTTTTTTGATGCTTGTTTTAAAATAGTTTAATGTGGAAATTGGACACAGTTGAAGGAGAGACTGTTTTGTACACATCTGTCAGTAAACAATCCACAGATGTCTTGATATGATTAACATTTTTGTGATTGGTATGGCTTTAATGTAATACACATAGAAAAACTTGTTTGGCATTGATTACAGTAATTTAAAATGTGTAATTAATGATGTGGTTATTGGAAATGAGTCAGAAAAACTAGATTTTGAATGGTATTGCTTGAATATTAAGCCAATGCCATTTTCTCCCTAACTTTAGCATGCATATTACAGTAGAACTACACTACTAAGACTTCTTGAACAGAAATATAAATCTCTGGTAAGTCTGTACTTCTTTCCCTATGTTGAGAAATAATATCACAAAAGATATATGATGTGATCAGTTGAATATATAAAACTGAGTCATAATAATGAATATTGCATAATGAAGTAATCCTCCTTTTATGTGATCTTTAAACTACTATCCTATGAGACATAAAAGGATAAAAGTAGAGTTAACAGTGAAGTCAGGATGTTGTTGTTGTTGTTGTCTGTTATGTGCCATCGAGTTGGCCACGACTCATAGTGACCCCTCCTTGGGTTTCCAAGGCAGTATCACTACCATTGTAGATTGCCCCATCTTCCTTCTGAGGAGTGGCTGGTGGGTTTGAACTGCCAGCCTTCTGGTTAGCAGTCAAGTGCCTTAGGCACTACGCTACCAGAGCTCCCAAAAGTCAGGATAGTAGTTAGGAAATATATAAGTACATAATAAATTGGGATGTTATAAATAATGGGCTAATTTGAGAGAAGCCATATTTTTGGTCATTTGATTCAGATCAAATGTTAATAGAGGAGTTAGTTCCATAAAAATACCCTTGTTTTTGAGTGAAAGTTGCATGAAAAAATTCCAACTTATAAATTTCTTTTATATTTATGAAAATTGTTTTGAATTATAACAAATATAGGCTAATACTATAAAATATATTAGCAAAACTATCTACATTTATTATTTACTGGTAGAATACTGTGTAAGGCACTGAAAAGAATTGAAAAGGTATTAGCATGTTTAAGAAATATGCTTAACATGTGAAGAAGCACGACATTTATTAATAACAGTGAAAAAGCTATACTAGTATAATTTTGAGATGAAAAACATAGTTTATGTAATCAGATGGCTCCTTAGATAGAAGCCTGAGTTTAGAAGTCAGGTGTGGGGAAAGATTTTTGGAATTGTGAATTTTTGGGTGAGTGCAGCAGTGCAGAAAATGAAAGAAGGAAAACAGTAATTGCTTTGTGTTTGAGAATTGAAAGAATTGCGTAAAAGAAGTGAGAGATATCGAATAATAGGATGGGAATTTATTTGTAGAGGTAATAGGCATTTAAAAATATATAGAGAAACTGAATTGAAAGAAAGTATTTCCACATCACATTTCTTTCCCATTCCCATGTTAAATGATTTTTTTTTTTTTTTTTTGCTGCCATATGAACATACACTGATCTTGCTTGGGTAGAGAAAGTGGCTGTGGAAAAGAACAAGATGAGTTTGTCCCATGGTTTGACTTAACAGTTTATAAGTGCCTTGCTATCACAGAAGCCCCAGTGGAAATATTTCAGATATGTTTCTTTTAGATTAACTCTTAAAATCTGTTTTTTTTTTAAAGAAGTTAACTCAGTATAATAGATTTTCAGCCATGCAAATGGAGTTAGTATAGTCTAAATCACTTCAATATTTTATTAATTTGTTCAAATATTTTCTGTTATGTACACAGTAGGTCAGACTTGCTTGAGGTTTCAACTTATATCTCATTTTCTTCAAAAAGCTGTCCATGAACCTCAGTATCAGTCTGAATTTACAGAATATTGAAAGGTGCTTTATCATCTCTATATTTTTTAAAGTTAACTTGGCCCCACTTTTGGAAAGAAATGCTGGGAAAATGAGTGCAAGATCTTTTTGTGTCTATTGTTACTTTTCAGAATTGAGGGTCAGTTTTGTACATCTTTGGTGAAAACTTTGGACCATTCCATTGATTTATCTTTCTGTTCCATAAGATTGTTGTGTAAAGACGTTAGTTATAGCAGCCTGTTAAAAATTGCTATGCTCAGTTACTTGCTAAAGCAGTTTCTCTAGCTTCTCAGCACTGCTGTCCAGTAGACCTTTCTGTGATGACTGAATACTTGTGTCATCCAATAAGGCAGCCACTAGACTCATGTGACTATTAAGTACTTGAAATGTGGCTCATGTGACTGAGGAATTGAACTTTTAATTTAATTCAGTTTTAATCAATCATGGTTAGTGGCAGTTGTGTTAGGTTGGGTTCTTTAGAGAAGCAAAACCAGTAAAGCTTATATATACATATAAAGAAAGAAATTTATCTTAGGGAAATGGCTCACACACTTACAGAATCTGGCAAGTCCCAAGTTCTTGGATCAAATGTCAAGCTGGAGGCTTTTCACAATTCACACAGCTGTAGGTGTTGAAGAGCTCAAGGTTGGCAGGCAGTAAGTATACCAGCTGATGACTCCAATGAATGACGAATCCAAGATCTCCAGGCCAAATGGTTGATTGTTTGCTCATGGACAGTTGTAGGCAGCACAACAGGATCCTGATCCACAGATGAGTGTCTCTTTTCCCAGGATGTCCATAAATATATTGGAAGCAGGGCACACCCCTAGGGAAACTCCCTTTCAACAGATTGACTGCTCAAAACATATACATCTGATCTCATCTCGGGAATAACCCACGTCACAACTGTTGAAACCACATAGAATTGTGGTCCAGCCAGCTTGACCCACAACTCTAACCATCATAAAATCAGCCAAGGAAAAGGTATATAGGAGTAGAGTCTGGAGAAAACCAGGTGCAAGCTTCTAGAAGTCATCTCTCAGAGGAGTCATACTCAGCTCGGTTCATTGCCGTCAAGTCAGATCCGACTCATAGTGACCCCTCCTTGGGTTTCCAAGGCGATATCACTACGGAAGTAGATTGCTCAATCTTCCTTCTGAGGAGTGGCTGGTGGGTTTAAACCTCCACCTTCTGGTTAGCAGTCAGATGCCTTAACCACTATGCTACCAGAGCTCCCAGGAGTCACACAGGTTGTGCTTAATTCTTCGACTAAGAAGTTGTGATAACATGTGAAATATCATCTACCAGGGAAGTTCATTAGAGACTCAGTGTTTATAGTTTTTATTTCAGGCTGATCATGTAAGCACCCTCTGCCTAGCACATAACAAAATTATAGAGCCCCAGAAGGAAAACAGGTGTTCAGCATAAAACACATTGAACAAGCAATCTAAATACAGTGACCCACTGTAATCTCTTCTGGGAATGTTGGGAAATCTCCCAGAATTGAAATTCTCAGATGCCAGCCAAGGGCTAATCCAGTAAGCAGGTCTTTCTAAGGATAGCAGTGTTCAGGTGTGCTATGTTAACTCTTTTGTACATATAACAAAGGTCATAAGAATGAATGAGACTGGGAAATTCATCAATTCCTTGACACCACACTTATGAACTAGACTCTCTCCATACAATCTTTACTTTCTCCCATGTAAAGGTAGATCCTTCCCTTCCCTTTACTTGAGTCCTCACTGCTGTTCCTGCCTCTGGGGCACTCCCCCCGCCCCTTCAGCTATTTCCTTTCTCCTCTGTAGTCAAACTCCTCTTCTACTGGGTCCCCTCAGTAACGTTTAAACATGACTATATCCAGTTGCTCGGAAGGAAGATGGGGCAATCTACTTCCGTAGTGATACCGCCTCGGAAACCCAAGGAGGGGTTGCTGTAAGTCAGATCCGACTCGATGGCAGTGAGTTTGGGAGCTCTGGTGGCATACTGCTAAGGCATTTGCTAACCAGAAGGCTAGCGGTTCAAACCCACCAGCCACTCCTCGGGAGGAAGGTTGGGCAATCTACTTCCATAGTGATACCGCCTCGGAAACCCAAGGAGCAGTCGCTGTGAGTTGAATCCAACTCAGTGGCAGTGGGTTTATATCCAGTTAAGATTTTGCTGGTTTAGTGGAAGGAAAGACTCTGAAACAAGGAAGTTGGGGAAGTTTTCTTTTACTCTAAATATGAAGTATATGCCTATTTCTGTCTGATGACGGTATTAAGCAAGATTATGTTTGTTGCTCCACAAATATTTTCATAGTGTTCTTCAGAATGATATCACAGTTAAAATAGCTTTTTTTTTTTTTTTTTAAAAACAAACAAACAAACAAATAAAAAAAAAACACTGAGCTTCAGTGGTCTGGAAAGGTACTATTCTAAATATTTTTCTTAAATAATTTTGGAAGGCATATTTATGGCCTTGTCTAATTTCTTTTGCTACTGGGACTTGTAGGCTGTAATTTTCTGGAATTAATAAGCTATTATTATTTTATCAGATAACTACAGCAGTTCAGCAGTGTGTTCAGTACTTGGAATTGTGTGAGACCATGAAAGCTGATGACATTTTGAGACATTCAAAGCACTGTGGTAAATGTTATTTTCCTTATTATATGCTTTTAAAAATGGTAAAATTTATTAATGAAAATGTCTTATTTTTAATAGTTGTTAGTAGTATGGTAAATTAGATCACCTTTGCTAGTGATACAGAATATTTTCCACACATTTCAAATATATACCATAATGATTACTGTTACAGATCTACTTTTGAAATTAATGTATAGTAATCTACTTCCATAGTGATACTGCTTCAGAAACCCAAGGAGGGGTCGCTATGAGTTGGGTCCGACTTGACGGCACATAACAACAACAACAAGAACAACAACAGTACTGTTCTTCAATTCATACTAGGGTTTATGTTCTAGTCTGGTATATAATAATATACTGTCAGTTTTTTCCTCCTCTAGGAGCTCTGCTGGCATAGTGCCTAAGGCCCTTGACTGCTAACCAGAAGGCTGGTGGTTCATACCCACCAGCTACTCCTCGGAAGGAAGGTTGGGCAATCTACTTCCATAGTGATACTGCCTCAGACACCCAAGGAGGGGTCGCTATGAGTCAGATCGACTCCATGGCAGTGGTTGCGTTTTTTTTTAATATGTCATTTACTTAATTCATTCTGCATTTCAGGGACAAGATATTTCCATAAAATATTGTTTTTATTATTGGACATCCCATCCACCACCTTGTGCTTCCTCTCTGCTTATTCTCAGTCTGAGCTAAAATGTCCTAAATGTTTCATAATCTGGCTCTAATCTAGTTATTGTCTTCCCTAGTTGAGTGAATCTTCTTTATGGTCAAAATCTCCTACATAAATGCTTATGCACCTTTGTCACTTTTGGTCCCACTGTCCCTATGCATACTCCTTTACTCTAATACATATTTTACTTATCGTGAATGAATACCAAAAAAACAAACCAAACGCACTGGCGTCGAGTCGAATCCAACTCATAGTGACTCCTAGGGTTTCCAAGGCAATATCACTATAGAAGTAGATTGCCCTTCATTTTAAGTCTTTCACGAAAACTTTCTTACCTGTTCTGAATTTCTTACTGCTCTTGTGCTTCATCACACAATGTGCTGTGTGGATTTGATTCTTTCATCATTCTCTTTTATTTTATAGTATGTTGCTTCTCTTAGCAAGTAGTTTCTTGAGAGTATGAATCTATCTTACAATTCTCCTTATCTTTTGGGGGAATTTTTTATCTAATATAAAGCAAGGAAAATGGACAAAGACCAATAATTAACAGGTTTCAAAGCTAGTGTAAGTGGAGGAAGTCCAGAAGCCTGAATTTATTCTTTAAGAGAAGGGTTGGGAAAAAGATGTATAACATTACATATGTTATCTCAGTTGCAAATGTGTAGAATTTTCTAATTTCTTGACACTAAAAGGCCATATCTTTTAATAGTCTTTAATATTAGAAAAGCAACTCTTTTCCCCCCTCTACTAGTCTACTAGCCCTTCATGGCTTTATTTTCTTCCTTATCTAATGAAGACCACAGGTTTTTCATCATTTCTTTCAGAATTCTTGTTCCTTCCTCTTTCTGATTTTCCTGCCTGCAATTGATAAACTTTAGGTTAATTCACTCACCCATCTTCTCTGGTACTTACATAATTGAGTAGAGAGAATTTGTGATACAGATCGACAGTGCAAATACTTTTCTTACCTCAGCTGCTCCCTTTGTGTTGCTTTGGAATATCCTTAGAAGTTCTCTCTTAGATGTTCTGTAACAGCTGTGGCAAGCCTTCAGTCTCATGTTCCTGGCCTTACTCCTGTCCAGTTCTCTGTTTCTCTGAGAAGAAATGGAAGTTGTTGGATATGAACTCTCCAAGCTTTCTGCTCCCACGTACACAATTACATCTTTGTATTCATGTATTAATGCCCTCTTTTTCTTGGCCAAAACAGAGAGGTTTGTCTTCTGTTCCAGATTTCTCTATATATTTTCTTTATCCTACCCTTTTCACTTTTTTGCAGAACAAGGATATTACTTGACTAGATACTACATTTCCCTTTTTATTGGTATCTTCCCCTGTATCCTCTCAACTTGGTCATGTGTCTTTAATATTAAAATATGGTGCAAATTATGTGCTTCTTATCTTCTAAGTATTCTTTAGACTCTTTGACCCTGTTTCTTTGCCTTCTGTTCACTTTCCAACACACTCAAGTGAGGCTTCTATTTCTGTCATTTTGTGACTTTGTCATCATCAGCTTCCACTCTTCCTATTCTCATTTTATAGCATTTAACTTTGTTGACACGTTTGTTATTCTTTTTTTTTTTT